ATCCTGGATCTTGCTATGGGGAGAAAGAAGCAACTTGGAGCCCCTTGGCATGGGCAGGGGGGGAGAATAGGAGATGCATGGTGTGCCTGGCATGATGGGAAGGCTTTTATAGGGCATCCTTGCAGAGAGGGATGGAAGGTAGCCTTCAGGGAAATGTAGAAAGGAGCCTGGTTAGGGGAAGCTGCAGGGTGTGTGACTTCCAGTGCTGGTGGTGTAATACCCGTCCTGCAGTCTCCACCCTTGGTTCCTGATAGCTGCCACCTCTGGCATGCTAGGACAGCCACTGCCTACTTTTGAAATCCTCTTCCATTTCTGCCTTCTAACCCCTGGGCTGAGGAACAAAGCAGAGCTTTCAAAGGGCTTGGTTTCAGCTTCGTTGTTACCTTGGAAGATCCTCTGGCTAAATACTCCTCTTTGCCCATTTGCACGTTCTGAAAACTGCCAAAGCCATTTTACAGGGATCTTAGCCAATGCTGGGTTTGGGTGCAAGTGGCATGGGGTACAGCACACAGGAGCTCATTAGGAGGAAATGATGAGAAAGGAAGGCTAAATGTTGGAGGAAAACACAGACGTCTGGGATGCAGGGGAGAGGGGTCTGAGTGGTGTCTGAGATGGACACACAGTACAGCTGATGCCACTTGGGCATCTCACAGGTAATCTTGGAACTGTGATCCCAGCACGTTCCCAGCAGACAGGCGGGCTCTGACTCAAATCCTGCCGGTGAGCCTCCCATAAGTGCTCCCGCCTGCATTTCCAAGAGCAGCTTTGGGTTTCTGAGCCTATTGGGGCGCCTAACTCTTGACTCTGCCCTGGTTTCTTCCTCTCAGCATGGAGTGCCTGCTGCTTTCTCTGCCGCTGGTTCTAACTCTCGTATTCCTCAGCTTTGCATAGGCCAAGGATCCACAGCCAGACTTGCACACACCACTGCATGTAACTTGGCAGGCCTGAATTACCTGTGGCATTGCCATCTGACCTCGGCTCTGCCCCCAGTCTTTCTCCTAATTGCTCTCTCCATTGTGCTCCCAGGCTCTTTCATGCCACTCTCACAGAAGTCTCTCCCTTCTGTGTGTCAGGATCCCTCTGTTAGCTCTGCTCCTACCTACTGTAGCTGTCTTTGCCCACCATCTCCTTGCCTTCTGGTACCTGGTCAGTGACTCTGTGGACTGTCTCTCTTGCACTGAAGGCCCAGTTTGAGTCCAGCTGAAATCCAAGGGCAAAACTTGTATTGAGGCCAGCAGGACCAGGACAGCTGCTTGGCTTGTAAGGTTAGAATTTCTGTATGCAACGAGCACTGGAAGCACTGCTCTCAGCACAGAAAGCATAGGGGGCCAGGCAGATACTGGTACATACTGGTGATGATGCCTATTTCCAATACAAGCACCTAGGCGGAGCAGTCAGCCTCTCAGGTCCTTGAAGGAACATCTTGGAATGCCTTTGGGTGGGAAAGGGCTCGGTGAACACGTGCAGCCCTGTTGCCTTTGCTAGCCCTGACTTGGAAGGGTGTGGTGAGCAATTGGAGGAGACATTTCCCTGAAGACCCAGGCTCTGCAGGAGACGGTGCTGATCAGTAGGGGATATTTGTCCCTCTGAGTTGGCGTTGTGCTGCTGGCACAACTAGGGGCACCGTCTTTCCAGTGGGGTGTCCAGAGGAGGTCTTGCCCGTGTGGCAGCGAAGGTTTCATGCTGGTCTCTGCAGCATTAGAATTGGTTAACTTATCAGGCTAACCAAATCTCAAGCCTGGTCATCCTGTTCTGCCTTTGTACGTCCTCCCTGCAATGTGATTGGACAATGTCATCTTCACTTCCTGTCCCAAACGAGGCCTCGCTGTGAGCTGTGCAGTCGTTGCCATGTTCCTTTATGGCTGGACACCAGGTGAACCCACCACCGAAATGTGGTCTAGCGCTTAGCTCCCTTGGAAAACCTCTGCATTTTACCAGTGATAAAACGATAGGTGATGCGTGGCTGGGTGCGTCTTCCTCTGCCCTTCCCCTCCCCAGTGTGTCTCTACCCAGACAATTCCCCCTTGGGGGCTTGTCTCCACCTTTTTACATAGGAGCATCGGTCTTCTAGGTTGTCGTGGCTGCTGAGGGCTGGTACATGATGCTTCTTTGTGCTCTCCAGCTGTCCATCGCTGTGTGTGGCACCCAGGTGCAGCACTATCCTGTCCTCTGATGTTATCATTGTGTCATTGCTGCTGCCCTCGTCGGGTGCTATTGATGCGCTCCCAGTGTTGAAATCTCAGGAACTGCAGTGCCGGCAAAGTGGCAGCCAGAAGATCCCAACATGAACCTTGTCTTAAAGGATGACCGCAGGCTCGCTTCAGTGGCAAAGATTTGTTCACGTTTATTGTCTACAAGCACAGCCCTAACACGTTTTTGACTTAACCAGGAGCCGAGACATCTGTACGTGTGACCAGGTAGTCAGCACACCACCACGCAAGCTGCCATTGCTTTCCAGTTCTCCTTTTATACAGCGCTCCAAACAAAATTATTCCATCTGCATCTTGAACATCTCGAACCGTCCTTTACCAGGGGCTTGTTTCACATCCTGACCTGGGTGTTCCTGTTCCAGCCTTATCATCCTGGTACTGGACTATCCCACCTTGTACCCTCAGCTCTGCTTCCCAGCTCTTGGCATGTGAGTCCTCCAAGTTTTGTTTCTGTGCGGAGTTCATGCATCGGTCAGGTTTGTGGTGAGGCCTCCAGTGATCAGTGCCCCAGTGAGGCCCACATATCTCCGGCAGGGCAGGAAGAGCATCTAGGGGGTAGGCGCAGGAGCAGGTCCCCATTGCTTCCCCTCTAGAAATGACAGTTTTGCAGACAGCTCCTGATGTCCAAGGGCCTCCTGGAACACAAGGCTGCTCCCTGCAATGCCGGTTGGGGGAAACTGGACCTCGGCTGGGATTCTTGGAAAGTTCAGGACTTGATGGAGGGTTTTGAGGCCCATCTTGCTTCTTACCTGTGAGCTGCAGGGAGGCACGCAGTGTTTGAGGGTGATCATTGCAATGAGAAGGAGGCATCCAGGGCACTATGCCAATGAGCTGATCATAGAAAATGAGGGCTGGAGGGGACCTCAGGAGCTCACATCCAGTCCAACCCCCTGCTCCAAGCAGGACCAGCCCCGCTACATCAACCCAGCTAAGGATGTCTATCCAGGTCTTAAACACCTCCAAGGACAGAGATCCCACCACCTCTCTGTTTAACCCATGCCAGTGCTTCACCACCCTCCTAGTGAGAGAGTTTTTCCTACTATCCAACCTCAACTTCCCTTGCTGCAGCTTGAGCCCATTGCTCCTTGTCCTGTCTTCTGCCACCGAGAACAGTCCAGCGCCATCCTCTTTGCACCCCCCTGCAGGGAGGCGAAGGCTGCTATTCAATCCCCCTCAGTCTTCCCTTC